CTAAGCAGGCGCTTAAATCCACTGAGCTATCTAGCCAACCCTGATTTCGCATTTTTCCAAACTTCCTGATTAACTGATATGATCACGTGGGATTTTTCCCCCTTCATTCTGTTAATGCAGTATCTTATGTTGATTTGTAAAGGATGCTATATCCCAGAAATGTATACCACTTGGTCAGCACATATATTTGAATTTGGTTTGCCCGTATTTTTGATTTTGGTTTTTTGAAATAGGGTCTATGTAGCACAGGCCTCAAACACATGGTGATCCTCCTGTCTCAGCCTCCTCCAATGCTGGGATTACAGGTGTGCACCACCATGCCTGGCTGGTTTGCCAGGGTTTTTTTGGGGGGGCGGGTGGGGTTGGTATTGGGGATTGAACTCAAGATCTTGTGCTTGCCAGGCAAGTGCTTATTCTACTGAGCCATCTGCCCAGCCCTTGTCAGGATTCTATTGGGGGCTTTGCATCGATATTTATAAGGAAGCCAAGTGTGGTGCTGCATGATTCTATTCCAGCTACTCAGGAGACTGAGCAAGAAGATCTCATATGCCCAGGAGGGCGACACCAGGCTGGGCCACAGCGCAAGTCCACTTCTCAAAACAAAACAAAGAGAGAGAGAGAGAGAGAGAGAGAGAGAGAGAGAGAGAGAGAGAGAGAGAGAACAAATAATATTTATACTGTTTTTATTTGTAGTTTTCTTATAGTGCCTCTAGTAAAAGAATGCTTGACTCAGAGAGTAAGGTATGACGTGCTCCCTCTTCATTTTTTTGAAAGACGTTGAGGCTTGGTGTTAATTTTTGAAATGCTTGGTAAATGGTTTCACCAATGACGTGATCTAGTCCAAGGCTTTTATTTGGTGGAGAGATCTCTGATTACTGAGCTACTCTCCTTACTAGTGACATCACTTGGATTTTCTTTCATTTTTGGGTTTGAGACAGCGTCTTGCTAGTAGTTCAGGCTGGCCTTGATCTCAGTCTTCCAAGTGCTGGGATTTTTTTTTTAATTAATAGATGCTTTTGTATTGGTACACATTTGAGGTGCATGAGGATCACTTTCCTGGTGGGGTGCTGGGGTGCCATAGCACTGCTCAAGGTTTTCATGCCCTTCCCCCCTTCTAACCCTTCCTTTCAGTTTGTTTTTTTGGGGGGTACAGGCGGTTTGAACTCAGGATCTTGCAGTTTCCAGGCAAGTGCTTATGCTGCTGAGCTATCTCCCTGGCTCCTTTCAACTTTTTTAAAGATTTGGTAGTGATCCTCCTGCTTCAACCTCCCCAATGCTGGGATTACAGGCAGGTGCCACCACATCCGGTTTCAGTGGCCAGCGTGGGGCAGGGCCAGCAGGACCAGCATAGCAGTACCGGTACCAGGGATTGAGCCTGGGTCCTTGGTCCTTGCACTTGCCAGGTAGGCGCTTAGACTGCCAAACTATCTCCTTGACCCCTCATTTTGATTTCTGGTTGTAATAATTGAAGTGTTTTTATGAGTCAATCTAGCTATAAGTTGTCCATTTCCTTTCTTTTCTTTCTTTTTTTTTTTGAAGACTAATCTTTGCTTTCATTTAATTCTACTGA